CTTGGCAGCCTAGGGGGATGGGGAGGCAGGAGAACATAATGGGGACCCCTGGCTCCAGTCATAGGAGGGCACACCTTTGCTTCAGTGTGCACATGCCTGGACGTACACTGTCTTTGAAGACACCAGCTAAGAGTCTCTGCTCCACGTTTGGACAGGGCCAAACCTGAGCTGAGAGAAATGGACAAAAACAACTGAGGCCTGTATTCTGGTACACACGTCACCAGCCGATACTGTACCCTGTGATAAAGTCGGGTGATTTACTGTCTCCACCAAACTGTAAACTCTGGGGTGGTATGCCTTTATAACTCCATGGCCCCTGGCAAAGATTCAGACTCAGAACAGGTATCAAATAGGTAACTATTGAGTGATTGTTCCCCAATTGCAGGCTCTGCCACCCAACACTCATACTGTCTGGGAGAGGACCCAGCTCACCTTTTTCTCTGTATCTCCCAGTCCTTCTCAACAGTTCCAACACCTCCTGGAAACTGACTGCAAATGTGCTACTTCTCACTCCTGTGTGGCCCGTGGAGCCTGGGTTAATGCTGGGCTTTGTACCTTAAGCACCCTTTCTCCCTTCCCCGTTTTCAGCCCCAGAATTACACCTGTCTGAAGCGGGTATTTTCCAATGCCCTAGACGGGTGTTTAAGTGTAAGGAGATGGGGGGCATTTGCCTGTGTCAGAACATTCACTGAGGATCCTCATAGGTGCTTCTAGAAACCAAATCCCCCAAGATGACCAACCAGAAATGCCCATCATAGCACTGTTTACGGTTGCAAAAATGGAAACCAATTGAAATGTCCATCAAGAGGGGATTAAGTGAATTATGGTACAGTTACACCATTGAATATTCTACAGCCATCGACAATATATAGCTACATTCATTGACAAGGAAAACTCATATTTTTGAGTGAAAAAAGCAGGTTATAGAATTGCATGATATTCACATTTATCTAAAACTTTATATATGGGAAGGATGTTGATTGAATTGTTAATAACTGATCACCTCTAGAGATGGAAGTTTGCATTACCTTTAATTTTTAATACCATTTTGTATTGCTTAACATTTCTGTGTATTATCATTATAATGAGAAAAATCAAATAAAGCTATTTTCATTATGGGAAAACAATCCAGCGCATCCTTTGAGGCCTGTGCCACGTGTCTGCTCCCCAGGCAGCTTCCCCTGATCCGCCTCCTGTGCCCTGCCCCAGCCTGGAGTGGAGCCCTGCATCTGCCGCCCTCTTCAGCCTCTGGTTTTTCTCCCTGTGTGGTGTCAGTTCTGAGGCAATCTCTGTAGCCTCCTGAGCCCTGGACTCCCTGGGGTCCTGGGCTGCCCTGTCTTTGCTCATCCCAGTGTCTTCCTCCTCCTGCAGAGGAGCCTCTGGGGCAGCGGCTGCTCCTTGGCTCAAGATCATTGCTGTACAAGCCCCTGGGCCACTGAGCCCAGATCTTCGGATTTTTCAAGCGATCTGGAAATCTGGCCTAACTTGAGGTTTAATAGGCCTCACCGTGGTTGGTAAGATTGGTGCATAGTGCCCCAGGAAAGCCTGCAGGCCCCACAAGGCTTGTCCCAGACAGGCCTTTGCCCCTATGTGGAAATGCTCCTCTGGCTCTGATGAGCAGCCCTCACTGCGGGCAGAAAGCTTCACCCACCCAAGGCTGCTCAGAGGAAGCCAGCTGCTCGCCTTCCACAGGATGCTCTTTGTCTGGGTCCAGAAAAGAAACAGAAAAACCCTGTCCAATCTGAGACAGGACCTTTCCATAAAGAGATGTGACTGTTTCCAAATGACTGCCCCCTCGGGGCTTTAGAGCTCGCTGCTTCCTCTTCCATTATGAGCTGCAGTGGCGATAACCACAGGGGCCCAATAGGCAGGTTTCCCCTCAAGGGAGTGACAGCAGCCTCGCCAGAAAAATAGGAGGCTCCCGCGGCCAGGAGCATGTTCCAGAGCAGGAGACAGACTGCCCATGATGGCCCCTTCCCACTCTCGGGCCTAATTATTTTATTAACTATAGTAAGAACTGCCATTTGTTCAGCACTGTGCTGGGTACTGTGCTCCAGGCCCTGAGACAGCTCAAATCCAGCTCCACCACCCCACAGGGTGCACTCATGACCATACTAAGGACAGGCCCGGGGAGCTAAAGCGGCTGGCCCAGATCACACCCCAAGACTAAGACAAACTCAAGCTCTTAGCACGGCCTCTCTGCCACACCCTATCTGACACAATATAGACATCTAGATGGACACAGACGAAAGGAACCTGGAAATCAATCCCCTAAGTTGTTTAGACATGATGCATCCACACAGTAGGCCTGCTAAGGACAAGCCTGTTTTGGTACCCACCTGGCCTGGTCAGCTTCTCTGACCCATGCGAGACACTCTTTCACTTGATGGGCAGGGGGGTGCCCAGTGGAGCAGAAGCAGAGGCTGGAAGACAGAAGCAGCTCTAGTCAGTTGCTGGGGACCTTAATGGCAGACATGAGAAACTCCACTTGCTGAGAAGCCATGGGCAGCACCCTGGGGACAGCTAGCAGATGAGGCAGAGCCACCTCCCTTCCAGACTTTGAGGCCCGGATCAAGAACTGGGCTCCCCAGTTCTTGGTCTCTCACGTCTCCTCACAATAAACCCCTATTACTTGAGGGACCCAAGTGTGCCTTTGTTTCTTGAACCCTAGTACTCGCCACACCAGAGGGGCTGCTTGGTTGATTGGCTGACACAGCTCTGAAGGGCATTAAGCTGTATCACCCCATGCAGCTGGCAAGCTGTGCCATCAAAGTACTGGGCTGGCCTCTGCCAGCTCTCCCTGGGCCAGACGTGGGTCATGTTGTCTGAAGCAGCTGAGCTACCGCTGTCATATCTAGGCAGGAGACAGGAGGCTCCCGGGAGTGGCGTTGCTGGCTGGAACCCCGGGTCTGGAGCCTGCCTGCCCTGGACCAAGCTTGGCTCTAAGGACTTGGGCAGGACATGCTTGTCAGAGGTGCCTTCCAACACAGGCGTTCCCAGCCCCACCCCTCCCTCGAGCCTCGCTTCCCTCAGGTGACAGAAATGAAGAGTTTGGACTAACTCAGTAACTCACAATGCTTTTTAGTAGCGCCCTTTTTAAAAGACGTGTTATACCAAAATCTAACATTCAAACATAAAAATGTCTTTAAATGTCATATTGTATTATTTCAATTTATAAAATGTACTTCTGAACAAGGTGATCAGTAGGAACTCTGAGGCTGTTTTGCTGAACAGCATAGTTGCTGATTTACATCAACCTCTGCTTCCAATTTATTTACTCTTTTTGGTTGCACAATATGGAGTAAATCAGAAACATCCTTATTGGAGAGTTAGTTGAAATTGTTAATTTTTTTTAAACTAACCTTGCAGTCTCAGGACAGAAGAAATAGTAGAATCTGTTTTTGTTGTCGATGAATCAGTAACCATCAGGATGAACCATGTCATTGCTAAACCCCTGCCGTTTTTTTGCCTACAAAAACAGCAAATTCACATAATTCAGTCACTAGTAATAGCTAACATCTCTCCACTGTGCGCTGGGCCCTCTGCCAAACACTTTGGAAGCTGCTGTCATTTAAGCCACACCACTCTCTGTTGTGCAAGGACCCTGAGATAAGGGACAGATAAGGACCCTGAGCCTCACGGGGGTTATCCAAGGTTATACCAGTGACCAGAGCTGGGCTAAGGTGGGGCAGGCAAGGTCCACTGTGGCTCAGATGGCCCTCAGTGGCTGGGCCCCTCCCGGCCAGTCCACCCCTCCACTGCCGCCCCCCGTGCGGGCTCAGAGAAGAATCCTGCCTCTGTGCCCAGCGGCGCCCACAGGCTCGTGGCCCAGGGGCTGTTTGTTTTCTTAACGGGGTTAACCAAACCTCCTGAGCAGCAGAAGCCTTGCGGGTGAAAGGGGGCTTTGTGTGACTGCAGCGGAAGCTGGGGCCTGAGCTAAGGCCGGGGCTGTGGGCCAGCCTACCCATGTGCAGGAATGGGGCGAGTCGGGGGACAACTTCACCCCCCAGCCCTTCCTGCCCTCTGCTCAGGCCTTGGTCCTATTTCCAAGTGGAAAACTGCAGGCTCCATACCTGCAATAGAGGAGCGAGTGGGGCCCGGTCTCTGGCGGGGCTGTGGCAGGGAATCAGGAGACAGGTGCTTGCTTATTGTGGTCTCCTACCAGGAGCTTCAGCAGCACCAGGAGCTTGTTAACGATGCCCGCTTCAGGCTCCACCCCAGCCCAGCAGTTAGAAAATCCTGGGTCAGGGCACTCAAATCTGAGATTTCACAGCACTACAGTTGGTGGTGAAGATTGCTAAAGTCTGAGAATTACTATAATCTAATAGGGAAATACAATCCATATGCTAGATCATAGTGGAGAAAAGACAAAGGTTTGTGTGGTAAAACAGCTCATTCTAAAAACAGAAGTTACTTTGAGGTCTGCACATCCGTCATAGAGTCTGGAACTTGGTATTCATATGCTGAGCTGGCCAGCACTGAAAGTGTACAGAAAGCAAACCTCCTTTGATTGTAATAACTGCTATGGCATTTACATCATGTGTTCCTCTTTATAGGAAAATATTTGGCCCAGCATGGTGGCTCACACCTATAGTCTCAGCACTTTGGGAGGTCGAGGCAGGAGGATCAGTTGAGCCCAGGAGTTGGAGATCAGCTTGGGCAGCATAGTGAGACCCTGTCTCTACAAAACAAAATGAAACAAAAATTAGCCAGGCTTGACAATGAGTACCTGTAGTCCCAGCTACTTGGGAGGCTGAGCTCTTGAGCCTGGCAAGTCGAGGCTGCAGTGAGCCATGATTGTGCCACTGCACTCCAACCTTGGCAAAAGAGTGAGACCCTGTCTCAGTAAATTAATATATAATTGATTTTTTAAAAATTGGAAAATATTCTCCATACCTTGTTTTACCTCCCCAAAGACATCTTAAATGCCCCTAAGTCAAGGATCTTGTTTTTCTTCATTTGGACCTGCACTCTTGTGCCCTGGAACGCTGTGCAATTAGGAGCTGCAGGTCTACTACCAGATGTTTGACAAGTCAGCTGCATGGAATCTCTTTGCACAACTGGTGATGAAAATCCACTGATCTGAGGCTTCCTGGAACACCTGAAAATTAAGTAAATGGATAAAGTGGACAACAATCTGCCAAGAAAGAAGTGAGAGGAGAGGTGTGTTTAACTCTGGAGGTGGGGGGAAGATTCTTGTTGCCCCCTTGCAGGCAGCCTTTAACCCTTCAGCAGCCCCTGCTCCTTCCCCTCCCTAGTTTTTTCTCGACATACCTCCACTGCCCATTCATTCATATACTCTTTCCATCACAAATATTCTTTTTTTGTTGTTGTTTTTTTTTTGAGATGGAGTTTCACTCCTGTTACCCAGGCTGGAGTGCAATGGCGCGATCTCAGCTCACCGCAACCTCTGCCTCCTGGGTTCAGGCGATTCTCCTGTCTCAGCCTCCTGAGTAGCTGGGATTACAGGCACGCGCCACCATGCCCAGCTAATGTTTAGTATTTTTAGTAGAGACAGGGTTTCACCATGTTGACCAGGATGGTCTCGATCTCTTGACCTCGTGATCCACCCGCCTCGGCCTCCCAAAGTGCTGGAATTACAGGCTTGAGCCACCGCGCCTGGCCTTTATGTTGTCTTTCAACCCAAATGTTTCTGAGACACACAAGTAACAATAATTGCAAATTGTAATAAGTGCATAGAAAGGGTCATATGATAGGGTGGTCAAGAAGGAAGCCTCAGCTGGTTGCAGTGGCTCATGCCTATTATCCCAGCACTTTGGGAGGCCAAAGTGGGGGGTTGGTTTGAGCCCAGGAGACCAGCCTGACCAACATGGCCAAACTCCACTGCTACAAAAATTAGCCGGGTATGGTGGTGTACACCTGTAGTCCCAGTTACTCGGGAGGCTGAGGTGGGAAAATCACCTAAGCTGTAGTGAGTGTAAGCTGTAGCCGTGATTGTATCACTGCACTCCAGCCCGGGCAACTGAAGTGAGGCTCTGTCTCAAAAAAAAAAAAAAAAAAAAAAAAAAAAAAAGCCTCTTTGAGGCTAAGAATTGGAGGATGAGCCCAGTCTTTGAAGAGTCAAGGAAGAGTGTCCCCAGGTGGAACAAACAGCCTAATGCGAAGGACCTGAGGAAGGAAAGAGCTTGTCAGGTTCCAGGAGCCTGGTGCGTAATAAGGAGAGGAGAGGAAATGAGGTGGCAGATGGAGGCTGGGCTGGGTTACTCACAGCTCTGTAGATTGGGTAGGGAGGGTGGGTTTAGGTCTCTAAGTGCAATGGGAAGCATTGGAAGGTTTTAAGCAGATCCCTTAAGAACAGTTTTTGCTGCAGGGTAGAGAATGGACATCCTATTGGGGATGAAGGCAGCGAAAAACGAAGACCCTGCCTTCATGGGGACCAAGAAGTCTGAGTATCCCAGTAAAGGCCTCCCTGGATCATGGGAGTTGGGGAGGCCCTGTAAGCCAGGGGGAGCTGGGTGCTTGAATGATGGGGCCCTAGGGAAGAAATGAAAGCACAGCGCTTCTCCTCACTCTGGGCCACTTTCCTTCTAGGAGACCCCTCTAGAATCTGGGAAGTTTTAGCTTCCTGATTCTGGGGTCCTTGTGTGATGCAATTTGGAAGAAAGAAAGTGTGGGACATGGTATTGGTGAGACCTATTTGCCCCATTTTGAGGTCATCTCAGCCCCTCTCTGGAGGCAGGGCTGGGGATGGAGGTTTTTTGCTCCACCTCAGGAGCAGGGGAGGGGTGAATCCCCTCAACCCTAGTCCCGAAGACAGGCTCTCTGCCTCCTCCTGCCCACCCCATGACCTCCCATTAGGTATGAGCTTTGGAAGGCAGGGCCTCCCCTCTCCCCATGTCACGAGGCCTTTGCAGGGGAGGTCAGTGGAGGAGAGGCCCTGCCATGCTGCTGCTGAATGGTAGCAGCTCCTGGACAGCTGGAGGTGTGCAGGGCTGAGAGGTGGGAGCAGAGGCCCTTTCCAGCACATGGCCTGAGAGAATTCTGGATTAAAATCCTGCCACATATCTAGGAAGCAGCTGCCCAGAGGGGTGGACAAGGGCAACTCGTGCCACCCCCCCCCCCGAAAGTCCCTCTTCCCATCCACTGCCCTGTGCCCACTTGTCCTGGTCATCCAGAACAAGCCCACAGTCAAGCTGCTACTCAATGCTTCTGCTAAGGACCTAACATGTCTCGCTTTTTTTTTTTTTTTTTTTTTTTTTTTGAGACAGAGTCTTGCTCTGTTGCCCAGCCTGGAGTGCAATGGCACGATCTTGGCTCATTGCAACCTCTTCCTCCTGGGTTCAAGCCATTCTCCTGCCTCAGCCTCCCGAGTAGCTGGGATTACAGGCACGTGCCACTACGCCCGGCTGATTATTAATAGAGCCGGGGATTCACTGTGTTAGCCAGGCTAGTCTAGAACCCCTGACCTCAGGTGATCCACCCGCCTCGGCCTCCCAAAGTGCTGGGATTACAGGTGTGAGCCACCGTGCCTGGCCGAATCATCTCACTGTATACACTCACCTCAAGGAGCCACATTATCCCTATTTTGCAGATGAGCAAAGGTCTATACAGTTCCTGAAATCCAGGCTGTCTGATCCCCAAATCAGAGCCTAAGTCCCTAAACTGCCTCTTCCCCACAGACAGCCTGTAGCCGCTTAGGGTTAGAAGATACAAGTGGATGGATGGATGAAGACAATGAATGAATGGAGGGGCCTGTGGATGCTGGGGAAGCGGACATCATAGCTGGATTGGGTCCACGCCTTGCTCAGGTGTGGTCTCAGCCAGGGACTCCAGTTTGCAGTCCCAGGGACCAGGCTGAAAGGAGGGAAAGGCTGGGGAAGGGACTGAGGAACGCAAGGCAGGTAGGTCCCTGGTTGGCCCGAGGACCCGCACTGAGGCCCGGGCCCCGCTTCCGTCCACGCCTGGAGCCACAGGCCGTTCTTAGCCCTTAGTAGACGCTTAACTCAGGATGGGTGACATTTTCGCTCACCGGTTCCTGGCATCAGTGACCGCTCAGCAAATGTTTGACAAATGGGTAACTCCCTTGCCCCAGGCTGCGTCCGGGTCCCGCCTAATCTTCTGGGCTCAGGACCCGCCGCTCGAGGGAACGCCCGGGGCGGGGTCACGTGGGGGCGGGGCCTGCGGGCTTAGGGGGCGGGGCGGGGCCGGCCGCGCAGGGGTCGTCTGTCTGCTCCGGGAGAGTTAGGGCTCGGATCCGAGCGCGCGGAGCGGCGGGGGCCGGGGCGCGGATGCTGGAAGTTCACATCCCGTCGGTGGGGCCCGAGGCCGAGGGGCCCAGGCAGAGCCCGGAGAAAGGCCACATGGTGAGCGCGGCCCCTGGATGGGTAGGGGCGCTGGGACCTGCTGGGTTTCCCCGCGCTGCGCTCAGTGGGGACCCGGAGCCCGGGCCGGGGTGAACGGGCGCTGCGGACCGGACCGTCGGGGGACACCTTGTCGAGGGTTTGGAGGTCACTTGGATTTGCCACCCTCGCAGACTGTGATTCGGGCTCTTGAGAGACCACAGGGCGCCGAGGGGCGGGTCCGCCAGCCGGTTCTCCCAGGTGTGCGGGAGCGGAGAGTCCCAGGGAGCCCCGGCGCCGCAAGGCTGCTTTGTGCCTGTGAGCGCGGGGTGGGCGGGCGCGTCGCTGGGCGCGGGTCCTGCTTCGTCCTCCCGCGGGGTCTCACGCGCACCCTCATTACCCGCCCGCACCCCCAGGTGTTCCGAGTTGAGGTGTTGTGCAGCGGACGCAGACACACGGTGCCGAGGCGCTACAGCGAGTTCCATGCGCTGCACAAGCGGGTGAGGCGGCGCCGATCCCCCACCGACCCCGGCCCAGCCTCTGTCCAGCCCCTGCCCAGTCCCTGTGAGGCGGGCAGGCGAACTCCAGCCCCAGCCTCCGCCACCCCCATGACTGCCCCTGTCTGCGAAGGGGAGGGTGCAGGGGGGCAGATCCCGGCCCGCACCGACCATGCCCCTGTATGGCCGGTCACCCCGGGAGGCCCGCGCCCACCCTCCCGGGCGTCTGTGGATGGTTTGGGGCCTCCCTCGCCATCGGCCCGTCCACCACTCATCAGGGTCTGTCCTAGGGTAGAGCCCGAAGGCGGGGGCACGGGAGGGCTTCTAGCTTGGGCGAAGAGGGCTTGAGGGCTCAGTCGGGATGCTGTGATCGCACGCGGTAAACCCCCAGTAGATCAAGAAGCTGTACAGAGTGCCCGACTTCCCCTCGAAACGCCTGCCCAACTGGAGGACCAGAGGGTTGGAACAGCGCCGGCAGGGCTTGGAGTCCTACATCCAGGTATGCAAGGGCACACTTGGTCGCGGCAGCCTGCTGTGCCAGGGATGTGGCCCAGACAAAGAGGTGTGGGGGCATGGCAGGCAGGGAACCCACAACTTGGGGATGTTATTCACCACCTCAAGCATCCATTTTCTGAAAAGTAATATAGGTCCAAATATCCCTCTCTGGAGTGTTGAAAGGACTGAATGAGGTAACAGACATAGGTAGTCCCAGCTCCATGAAAGGCAGGTCCTGTCCCCTCCAGGGGGAGGTTCCGTGCTGCCCTCCTGATGGGATGTAGGGTGAGTGTCCTTCCCCCAACAGCAAAAAGTGTACTTCGCGGGGTACAACCTGTGCACACAGGGCCCAGTGCTCACAAGTGCCCTGAGCTTGGTTTAATGCTCTGCTGTCATTGCCTTGAAATTCTTTTTTTGGAACAAAGAGCTCTGTGTTTTCATTGGCATTGGGCTATGCAAATTAGTAGCTGGGTCTGATTGCAGGTCTCCTCTGTCCTCTCCAGGGCATCCTGTATCTGAACCAGGAGGTGCCCAAGGAGTTACTGGAATTCCTGAGACTTCGGCACTTCCCCGCAGACCCGAAGGCTAGCAGCTGCGGGTAAGGGGGGGTGAGGGGTGGGGGCCAGGGGCTGTCAGCAGAGAAAAGGTAAGGAAAGGTGCTGGAGGGCCAGCCCTTTCTTCTCACACCTGCCAGGCCTCAGCCTGACATAACCGCCCTCACCAGTTTTCTTGACCTGGGTGGAGGGGCTTTTTTGGACAGCCTTGGTTACCCCAGCCACCTCCGGAACCGGGCTTGTTACAAATAGAAGCAGTGGTCCCCTGGGAGGTACAGTTCTGGGCTCTGGTGTCCCCACCCCTTCCTCACGTTCCCCGGGCATCCCCAGGCAGCCTACGGTGTTTCTCTTCTTTTCAGCACCCTGGAGGAGTTCCTGCCTGGTGACAGCAGGCAAGTCAAGGCCCTGACCCGTGCCTGGCCCCTGCCGCCCCCTAGTGGCCATATGCTAGGAGGCCGGCCTGCTGCCTGGGCCTGTCTGGTCTATCCTCCCCTTGGTGCCTCCTGAGCCCATTTCCCACTCACGTTTTCTTTCATGGGTCCCTGGTGATCTCAATCTCATCTCCACCCCACTGTGGGATTCTGCCCTGCCTCCCGCACCCATGGTTCATGACCCCGTTTCCTCCTAGCTCTCAGCAGCATCAGCGGCCTGTCCTGGGCTTCCATGTGGATCCCTATGTGTGCACCCCCTCCCCAGGTGAGCTGCCTAGATCCAGGGCTACAGGAGGTGGGCTTGGCATTGTTCTACTCCCCCGATCCCCAAGCAGCATGTCCTTCCTGCTGCCCTCCCCCGGGGCCATTACCTCCTGCTTCTGTTTCCCGTGGAGAGTGCTGTGTCGACACAAGGAAAACAAGTTTGGCTTCCCTGGTCTCCATTTCCTCCATAGCCTGACTTCTTTACCAGGCTGATGTGAATAGAATGCGACCTGGGAATGCCAAGGCTTCATTTGGGATGGACAGCTGCTGTCTGCTGCCTTGGCAGGGGCTCCTACTTCCAAGGGCAGGGCCGGGGCAGGGATGCTGAGCCCATGAAAAGGGCCTCCAGGAGCTGCAGGCCTAAGGCTAGACCTGTTAATTCTACCCAACAGAGCCGCTGCCCAACATGGTGGTGGATGGTGTGCTCCAGGGCCTCTCCAGCTTCAGCATCAGCCCAGATAAAGCCCAGCCAAACGATGCCTGTCACCCTGCTCCTCTGCCACCTACGTCCTCATCAGTCCAGAGGCCTATGGCCACCTCCTAGGACAGTCATGTGCCTCCATCCTATCAACTCCATATAAGGCTAGGTCCTCCCTTGGTCTGGACCCAGGACTTAAATACCTGGTGCCCAGCTGTGCCACATCCCACTCAAGGCTCAGAACTTGGCTTGCCCTGGTGGCTGGAGGTGGTAGAATTTGCACGTTCTTAGAGCGCAGGAGCCAAGGCAGGGTCAAGAAGATAAGCAATAAAGAAGTCAGCTGTGCACAGAGGTTCATGCCTGTAATCCCAACACTTTGGGAGGCCAAGGCAGGAGGATTGCTTGAGCCTGGCAGTTTGAGACCAGCCAGTACTACATAGTGAGACCTGTCTCTACAAAAAGAAAAAAAAGTCAATTTAGAGGTAGGCTATGAAAAGGTACAGGTATATTTCTTCACATAGACTGGAGGGTGGTGGCAAGGGGGGCAAATGTGGAGGCCTAGTATCCGGCGAAGTTTAGAAGCAGGGGGCAAAAGCTCCTGCTTGACTTTTCCTGGGTAGCTCCAGGGTCAAAGTTTCAGGCAGGATCCCAGGGAAGGGGCAGGCACCCACTACTGCAGGAGAATGGCAGGCCTGTTGGGGTGTAGGCTTGGGGGAGGTGCCGCAGACTCAAAAACCAGGCCCACATGTTACAAAAAAAAAAACCCCACATTTTTTTTTAATTGGTCAGTGTTGGCAGGAGTTTGTTACAAAACTGGGTCCATGGGCCTGTGGAATGTGAGGGAAGTGGGTCCACCAGATGCCAGCACCGGGGCCAATGCAGCTCAGAGCCCTGTGGCGGACTAACTTCACCCCCTGGAGGGCAACAGGGCCTCACAGATGGTCACGAAAATGAAGAGGTCCCTGGGCCCTACTCCTTGGCGATGGCAAAGGGCTTCTCCACCTCGATCTTGCCACAGTCTGCGATGATCACATCCTTCAGGGGTTTGTCCCGGCTGTCTGTCTTGGTGCTCTCCACCTTCCGCACCACCTCCTGGAAAGAAAAGGTGGCAGCAGGAGGGCACAGTGGGTCAGGAGGTCCGCTGCTCGGGAGAAGGGCCCCAGCGTATGGCTCAGGAAGGCTGAGACCCATAAGTGATCAACAGCACACAAAATTGGAGGCACCAAAATTCGAACACAGAGAACACAGATTGACAAGGGCATGCAGGAGTTTTGTTCCTTTGAAGTAAGAGCCAGGTTGGGCCAAGGGCGAGGAGGAGGAAGAGGGTGAGTGGGGAAGGTGGCTTCTCAGGGACCTCGAGTTCAGATGTACTCTGGACGCCTCAGGGGTGGGGCCAGCACGTCACTGAGTGTGTAAGCGGAGAGAGGCTCTGGCAGCTATGCAGCCTTAACGAGGCTTCCTGGCGGGGCTCTGCGGGGCACATGGAGATGCAGGGTGTATTCAGGACAGGAGCCCTGGGCCACACCTGTGGGTTGGGTCCTTTTGGGAGAGGGATGGACGCATGGAGCTCCTGCCCCGGGGCCTGTGTTGAATCCCCGGTGAGGACTGCCCAGGTATAGCCCTTGCTTCCAGAACTTACCATGCCCTCTAGAACTTTGCCGAACACCACATGCTTGCCGTCTAGCCAGGCTGTCTTGACTGTAGTGATAAAGAACTGGGAACCGTTGGTGTCTTTGCCTGCGTTGGCCATGCTCACCCAGCCAGGCCCATAGTGCTTCAGCTTGAAGTTCTCATCAGGGAAGCGCTCACCATAGATGCTTTTTCCTGGGAAAAAAGACAGAGCAGGTCGGGGGAGCTGGATTGGGCCACACCAAGCAGACATTCAGAGTGAGGACTCAGGGGCTCAAGCCGTCCTCCGTGCCAGGCTGGGCACCTTCTATCCTCAGAGCCAAGCCATGCTGAGACCAAGTGGGGCATCAGGCCAGGCTGATGTGGTGAACAGCTCACAGAAGGATTACTTTGAGAGGATAGTTTTGTGGCTTTTAAATAAGGCACATGTTAATCAGCTCCCCTCGGCTAGGGTTCGGGCCTGCCACGGAGGGACTTTGGTGGAGGGAGGTGCTGTGCAGGATGCAGGGGAGTCAATGGGGTCTGAACTCTCCAGAAAAGGAGGACTGCTGTGGCTGGCCAGCCTGTTTTCCTGTGAGTACAAAAGACAGGCGTAGCTGCAGAGGAGAAAGCAGACAGAGATGGGTGGGGAGAGGCTGCTCCTTGAATTCTGGAAAGTCAACGTCTCTTAACAAGGAATGAACAGGAATAAAAGGCAGCTGTGAGTGTGTGATGCCTCTCTCCACCTGGGGCTTGGGGTTATGACAAGGGCAGCCAGGGGTGATCACTACGCCGTTTCGGAGATTCTAGTTCCAAAGCTGGTTCCAGAAGAAACACTGAAACCCTTCTTTTTCTGTCACCCCTTGGAGATGGGCACTATGCATTAAACCCAAGAAACCCAGCAAAAAATGGGCATTTTCATTTGTTTTATCTAACACCTTTCAAATGTATTTGCGTGCAAACACCTTTTTCACTTCTCAGTGCCCCTACCTTCATTCTGTGGTTCCACCAAATGGAACTGGGCTGGGAAACTGTCCTAGACGGATGCCAACCAGGAAGATGGTTCTGATTGGGCCACAGGCAGGAAGACTGAAAACCAAGAATGACCAGACTCTGGCTGGTGAGGACGGGATGCTTCCGCCTCTGTTCCACCTCTCACCCCAACGCTGGGAGACTGGACTCTGCCACATGTGCAGTGAGTCCTCACTGGGGTGCTGGCTAAAAGCCTCCCCTATTTGAGAATCCTCTGAGTAAATCTCAGCCAATGTGGGATTTTGATTATAGTTGTTGTCCAGAAAACCCCCAAATCTCCATCCTTAGCTCCAATCACTCTCCCAGGATACAGGAGTTCCAAACCCAAATGGACACTTCTCTTTAAACTCAACATACCTCGTCATCTTTTGACCTCAGTTATTCTTTTGATCCCTGTTCCTCTGCATGTGGCTGAGCTTGTCCCTACCTATCCCCCATGTACTCACTCTTTCTTTCCATTCCCGCCACCCCGGCTACAGCAGATGAGTGCTTAGGGCACTAACAGTGTGTGCCAGAGACTGTTCCAAGCATCTTACATATTTAACAGTCCACCCTATGAGCAGGAGCAAACTCGATTTCAAAGATGAAGAACCTGAGGCCAGAGAATAAAAGGAGACCCAGCGAAGCAGCGGCAGAGCTGAAGTTCAGAACAAGGTGGTCTGCTCTCTAATCTCTGCTCTCAGTCACCTTGGGATCAGGCCCAAATCTCCCTGCCCAGGATCAGCTGTACCAGTACCCCCAGCAGCCTGCCTGCCCTGGTCTCCACATCCTGGATTTGCCACCACATCAATCTCCTAGCACCCCAAGCGAGGGCTCGTCCTCTTACTCAGCTCTGTGGCCTCCGACTCCTTGCAAGCCGAAGCCCAGGCTGCAGGCCATGACCCACCTCTCTGCACTCTGGGTACAGATGCCCTCACCTCACCTTTGGCCAAGCTCCTTCCACAGAACAGCACTGGGCTCCTGCCCTAACCCTGCCTCTTTGCCCATTCAAATTCTCCTCATCCAGGACCCCATTGAAATCTTTCCTCACACCCACAAGCCCATGCCCATTCCCCCTGGCCTGTGGGGATTCCTCTGCTTGTCAGCACTTCAACAATGGCTGACTTACTAAGCACTCAAGAGTATGCCAGGCACATCACACTCTAGAGCTAGTCTAATCCTCACAGCTCCGCAACTCTCTCCAGTCTCACTGGACAGAAGAGGACTGGAGCTCTAAGGACTCACTCACCTGAGATCACAAAGCAAGAAGGTGGCAGATGGTGGACTGAGCCCAGCTGTGTCTGACCCACAAATACAGTTCTTTGGTCTCCTTTGTGAGCCTGAATCCTAAACACTGTATCATGGCCCACATGTACATTTTCAGTTGTTGGAAGTAAAAGGGAGCCACTGCCGTTTTTTGTGGGTCTTTACATCCACAACCCCCACCACAGAGCCCCATAGACACTCACAGAGGAGTGAGCTGTGCTCTAAGGGAGCAGCCAGCTGCACCTGAGCTCAGTGAGACTCATGCAGGGATCCAGGGGGTCTTTCTGTCCTCTGTGTGCAAGTTAATGCAGAGGTGAGAGTCGGCCCTAGCAGAGTGGTCCCTGGTGAAAGACTGTCAAGTACTGGGCTGGGCACAGTGGCTCATGCCTCTAATTCTAGCACTTTGGGAGGCCGAGGCGGGTGAATTACCTGAGGACAGTGGTTCGAGACCAGCCTGGCCAACATGGTGAAACCCTGTCTCTACTAAAAATACAAATTAGCCAGGCGTGATGGTGGGCACCTATAATCCCAGCTACTCAGGAGGCTGAGGCAGGGGAATCGCTTAGACCCCAGGGGCAGGGGCAGATGTTATAGTGAGCCAAGGTCACACCACTGCACTCCAGCCTGGGTGACAGAGCAAGACTCTGAAAAAGGAAGGGAGGAAGGGAGGGAGGAAGGAAGACTGTCAAGGAAAGGAACTGCTCCCACAATTTTTCTTTTTGAGAGAGTCTCGCTCTGTTGCCCAGGCTGGAGTGCAACGGTGTGATCTCAGCTCACTGCAACCTCCACCTCTTAGGTTCAAGTAATTCTGCCTCAGCCTCCAGAGTAACTGGGATTACAGGCACCCGCCACCACACCCGGCTAATTTTTTGTATATTTAGTAGAGACAGGTTTTCAACATGTTGACCAGGCTAGTCTTGAACTCAAGGCCTCAAGTGATCCATCCACCTTGGCCTCCCAAAGTGCTGGGATTACAGACGTTAGTCACCGTGCCTGGCCCTCCCACTCTTGCTGGGGCTTCTATGGTAGCCTGCACAGGCTTTGCATGCCTGACCTAGAATTGTGTACCCACATGTCTTCATTTTGCTTCCACGCGCCTCTCTCTCCAGTCCCCATTCCAAAGAGATATCGGGAAGGGTCACCAGGCTATAGGCCTGGATCAGCAGGTCAGCCACCTAGGAGAGAGTCTCTTAGGTCTTCCATCAGGTCCACCCCATTATTCTCTCTCCTTTGTACTAGGTTCTCTCTACAAAGAACGGTGCTGCTGGTCTCAAAGTAGGTAATAAGTAGGCCTACCTCTACAGCTGGGCAAGAAAGAGGCCTGGTCTCCCCAGCAGAGCCTGGCCCTCCCACCATGGAGGCTACATTGACATACGCCTTGGCCCAGAGGACCTGTGGTTACCTCCTGTGCCATCTCCCCTGGTGAAGTCTCCGCCCTGGATCATGAAGTCCTTGATTACACGATGGAATTTGCTATTTTTGTAGCCAAATCCTTTCTAGAAAAAGGGAAGAGAAGGTAAGGAGGTGGTATGGGGCAGCAGGAAGACATTAAACAGGCCCTGCAGGAACAAGTCCACAACTCCTGCTTGCAGAAGAGACACCCCAGCTGACCCCTTTCACTGTTGAATGTGCTGCTGAGTGAGCGAGCAGCCACTCAATTCCCAGACTTTATACACCACACAATGCCTTTCCCCTCTTATTTCTTCCAGTCATAAGAACAGATACAAGAAAACTGAGAAGAAAGGTCACCTGCTGGCTCAATGGAAAGTTAATATAAACTGAAATAGAGTACTGCTGTTTCTTCAAAATCCACTGCCATCGCTCTAGGTGAAGTCTCCCCAGGAAGCTCTGGACCCCTTACTCTTTTTTTTTTGAGATAGAGTTT